ATTTCATAATGCCCTTCCACCTCTCGCGTGACAATGATTGCAAGTGGCATTGAATGAGCCTCCTCCATCTGAAAGATATTGGGAGTTCCACATCCGTAGCCATGCATATTGCAAGGAAACCTTCTTATGCAACTAATTAATAACAGGTTATGTGAATTTGATATATTATTTCTACCTTGAAGATTCCTGAATTTTGGCGCCAATAATTTTGGGACACCCTGTACAACCCGATATTTCATTATATAACCACCAATTAACTATGTCAACGCTCGCTTTCGACCTTCTTTTCTCCTGCTCTGAAGTCATGGAAAGGGCCGAGCAATAACCTTCTCAGAAGGAGCTTCAGTGCCGAATATTGTCACAACTTCCTATGGACTTCAGCAGCAAAGAAACGGGATCCGAGTCAGCAGAGAGGTACGTACCGAACAATGGGAGACAGTTCGGTCATTGCATGTTTGAGCATACAGAAAGGTAGTGTCGTTATATTCCTGTGACTTTCAGAACATTCCAGAAGAACTCTTGAATAGTACGAAGGTTCCAAAGGTAACTTCTGATCGGCCCAATAAGTAAAAATAGTCGGTGGAAGGAATATCGAATGACTGTTTCGTAATTACCGCTTAACTATGAGCAGTCATTTCTGATGTCTACCTTTATTATCCTTACTATATATAAGCGCTCGCGTCTGTCTATCTGTCTGTCTGTTTGTTTGTTTGTACAGAAATTCGATATAACCTTAAAAAATACCTGGACAAATTGGATCAACTTTGGAATGGGTTGGGCATAGGATTAGTGCAGCAGAGCAGATGTGAGCCCAGCGGAGCTCAGCCCCCAAGAGGCGGGGCATGCGCCGCAATTGTGCGCGGTCATGGGCAAATTTTCATGGCCTAGGCCACGAAAAATAATAAAAAGAGCGCCTCAATATAAAAGACTTTATGCGTGCTGGGCATGCGTAAGCTCAGCGAAGCCCCGCCCAGGATGGGCGAGACTTGCGTTGAAGTGAAAGTTTCTTTTCAATAATGAGTGTAACTTCGTTCGGAAACGTTCTAGAGCGCGGGAAAAAAGTGGTTAGAGGTAATGGAACAAATGTGGTCAAATCTTAGAAGTGGGCGGGGTTGGCACTAAAGTGGGCGGGGCTTAGATCAGATTTCCATAATTCTGTTCAGAAACGTTCTAGAATGCGGGAAAAAGTGGTTGGAGGTATTGCGGAGAAAAAGGTCAGGAGCACTTGAACGAAGGTTCACTTTTTCTTTTAGTGGAAATGGTCTGAGACTGAGGTGGATGGAGCAATGATCAACCGCTAGTAATTCTGCTCAAATGAAATACATCTAGCATGATGCTCTCAGCAGTTCAGCCCTCAAATCTAGAGAGAACTATCTTATTCTGATAATCCAACATTTCGCTGAATGACTCCACCGTAGACAAGCGGTCGTCGACATACATAAAATGCACGCGTTAGCGTGCATAGCCCGAATGGTGACGTATAACCAGAAGGGTGTAATTCATCAGCGAGAGCTTACCATTAGAGAGCATACATAAAAGCATTCATAACAGAATATCCATAGAAGATACTTCGGACGAGTAACCACGAGAACTATTATTCAAATTTAAACAACTTTCTATCAACTCACTACAACTGTTCCTATGGCCCGTCATTCATCACAATTAAGTTTCATCATCATAGACACATTTTATTTTAAGAACTACCGTAGTATCACAGATACATTACATCTCTCGGCTCTCTACTTCGCCCATTGATTGCGAATGTAGTTGAAGTAAATAGTTTGATGACTTTCGCGTCGGACTGCAATCTCTCTCACCTGCAATTTTCATTATTCCAGCTTTCAATGATTTGTCGATAATATCTAGATTTTTTCATTATAATCTTATTTTTGCGCAGATTTGGCGTAGTGGCAAGTAGTGCACTGTCCCACATACTGGGCCGCTGATCGGATTCCGGATCGATATCTGTCCAGGCCAGCCATACCCTCTACCCTTCCGAGGTCAGCTATTTTGTACCAAACTCATGTGGGAGGCTAAAAACGCTTGGTTTCACATGCGCTGACCACCATGAATCACTGCATATGACGTATTATTACATTTAGTATGCCACTACGATTTTGGATGAAAGCTGATTGCGGTGGAGGATCCTAAAAAGGGATTGATGATCGTCGAAAACCTCACCCTTTATTTTTATCCTTATGATCTCAACTTTGCCAGGAAGTGATGTGGGGACAAGGAACGCCGCTGTTTCCTGTCATACGTCGCTCCACAGCTCAGATACCTTTTCAGAGGAATCTACTGCCGAGAGGGAGCGTTACAAACTTGGTTCACTCCAAGAGGGCTGTCTAGCAGGCTGTCGAGCTGATCATACTTTTAACTTGCTTGAACGGAACTCTCACCTCGTCAGTCTGGGTGCATGATGGCTTGCCAGTAACCTTCGACAGCGATCCACATGCAACCTTCCGTATTGTTTCGTGGCTGACAATCGCAACGGGTATCCCATACTGCAGAACAACAGCAGCCTGATTTACCAGATTTACAATAGAGGCAAAAAGTGCTATTTTATGCCACTTACTCCACGCAACGCTATATAAGCTATTAAGTATCTAGTTGATCCGGACTCGTAGCTGTCACGGTCAAACGCAGGTCGAACGNGCGATCCACATGCAACCTTCCGTATTGTTTCGTGGCTGACAATCGCAACGGGTATCCCATACTGCAGAACAACAGCAGCCTGATCAACCAGATTTACAATAGAGGCGAAAAGGTGCCATTTTATGCCACTTACTCCACGCAACGCTATATAAGCTATTAAGTATCTAGTTGATCCGGACTCGTAGCTGTCACGGTCAAACGCAGGTCGAACGTCGAAGAAAAGTGCACCAACCATATCGACTATGGTGATGCCTGTATCAAGCAGAACTACAGGAGCGACCAATCTGAAATCACATTAGCAACAGCGGAGCTAAGTGGATGCTCGTAAACTTCACACCTCAGTGCTCTGACGTTCTCTGAGATCTGATAACGACTTGAAAGCGATCCACTTCCTCTAGTTGATCGCCGCAGTCGCCGGTTCACCACAAGAAGAACAACAATGCACTGAAAGGAATTGGTTTTAATTTTGTCAGACCAAATACGCCTCTCAATGTACACACAAATTCAGTGAAAGTCAAGCATATCACATATAATTAGAAACAGGTTTTCGCTACACTTATTTCCTTTTAAAGGGAAGACGGGGTAGATCCAATTGGTGAAGTGCCCTTCGTGAGATTAACGGCACAGTTCACGATAAAAACGGTTTCTGAGTTTCCCCTCTAGGAATACCCAGTGAAATTCAAAGGTAAGAGGAAGGAGCCTGTCGTGTTCAAAAACTCGACAGCTGATAGCGCCAGCCCCATAACCGGATCGCCCAGATAACACGCCCATCTAACGTAGTGTCGGACGAGCTGTAGGGGCGGTACAGATTGCTATATCCGTGCCAGGCCCCACGGGCTTAGCCCGCAATCAGCTGATCGCCGAAAAACGAGGCGATGTTTTTTGTTTTTCTCCTGTCCTATTATTCCCTACCATTGTTTCCCTGCTGCGGTCCTTTACATAGTTTTCTACCCCAAGAGGATTTACTCGCTGTTATTGTCGAGTGGATCAGGTAAGTTTTTTACGTATTTGAAGGTGAAAAATTAGTTGGAGTGTGCCAGCGTGAAGTGAAATGATGATTTTGTGCAAAAAGCTGGGCATCAAACCATCTCTGCGCTCCAGCGCGGTCTCCATGCACTCTCCGTCTGGTGTCAGAGACGCAAAGTAGAGCGTTAGCTCGTCCGAACACTCCTTTTACGCTATTTTTCTGCCTTAGACTCGTCCAACCAACTCCTCCCATTTTACTAATTTTTTGTGTCCATGTATTTCCTTTTATACGCCGTTTTTGCGCTACGTTCATTATTTTGCACTACTCTAGCCTGTATCTTTTATTATAAGTCAAAAACTGGGTACCCAAGAATAATCGTTAATTGTGCCCTCAAGAAATCGAGTCCTGACCGCTTTGGCTATCCAACTCCTCCATCCCTCGAGGATCACTTAATTGGCACTAGAGTAGGGGGTGAGTTGAAGTCCTTTTTGGTACGTCAATATTAATACGGTTTACACAGTCTGCATCTGCATATGTACGTGTATCAGTTTGACTATTAGATGTTACTCACTCCCAAGTAGATTCGTTTCGGACGTAACGACCTTTCAACTTCGTCTTTACTACTCTGAATGTAGGACCAGGGGTGCCCCAAATGGAAGCGTAAGTATCAAATGTCACTCTCACTTACCGTGAATATCACAAACGAAAACCCAAGCTGTACCATGTCACTAGTCGTACCACCTGGAAATATTAGGGATAACGGTGAAATATCAAAAAGCAAGTTTCAGCCGAACTACGGAACTCTAGGAAAAACTCTGACAATTTTCGGTGTCAATCGGTCAAGAACTGTAACCAGCCTCATACATGAAGAGGATGATATGAGAAAGCATCTAACGAAGGATCATGTCTCCTTCAGGTGAGTAGGGGCATCGATCCCATATCGGAAGAGGCACGGTCGCTGGGTACCCAATGAGAGCTGTCATATGCAGCTAGCTGGGCCTGATAGCGAATGAATCAAGTCAGGGGAAGAAAAATCGTACCGACTGAAAATCCAACTTCGCTTTCAAGGTTTTTTGCACGACACATCTTTCGCATGCCTGGCTTCTCGGTTCTAGATTTGAGAATCTCGAGGAATCAGGGGCTCAGAATATTACTTACTGTCAGGACAGACTAATACCCATTGTCTTATGAGAACGCAGGATCAAGAGCCTCCCCTTCAAAGGCACAGTTCACGACAATGTCGGATGATCCAGATTATGACGAAAAATGGAAGATAAGATAGAAAATAGTGCGAAGAAGGCGAACTGCATGAATCGGTGTTTCTTAGAAAAGGCAAAATCGTTGAAAAGGGGGCTGAACGAGAGTGAGAGCAGAAAAATGAAGAAGAATGGGTTTTGGACGAACTATACATTGTGTGCCAATGTGTCGTACGTGTGGGTGTCTCGGTGCAAATAACTAACTACGGTAAGCAAAAATTCATTCACTCATAAGCAAAGAACCCTAGCAGCAGCGAAAATAGCCCACCTTTTTCAGCCTCTTTTGGTAGAGAATTAAATTAGGGATCGGAACAGCAAAAAGACTAACAGAGAACAAAAGAATAAATAATCAAAGAATCAATAAAGAATAGGGAGGAAATCATCGCCTGCGATCAGCTGATTGTGTATGGGTCCTAGAACGAAAATTCGCAATCTGCTTCGTCTCGAAACTCGTCTGACGTGACATAGATCGAGGGGCGAGAAAGCCCCGCGAGCCAGCAACAGAGAATTATCGTAAACTGTGCCTTTAATTTCCTGAGTCGTGTCCTCACGGATATCGGTAGCGACTCCCGGAGATCAGGGGAGTTGCTGGAATCCTCTGAGAGTTCACCTTCGCCCAGAAACAGGATGGGAGGGATAGTAAACCAACACGGGAATTTGTGGAGCTGGAAATCGTATTTTTTTATGACGCATCCTAGTAAAGATTTAAGCTCCACGTTCTAGAAAGGTCGCGAATTCGATAACCTGATTTTGAAAATTCAAAATTTTAATCGCACTATATGCTCCAGAGGGGTGCCCATGTCAGAAAGTTTCATGATTTCTGAGAGGGGAAATCAATTATCTTCACATTCGGGGTTCCATAAATCTGGGCATGGTTGTGACATGATGTTGATTTTGCTTTAAACTCTCATGGGGTTGTTGTAAAAACTTTATTAGCTAAGATTTCGGAGATATCGCCTCCCTCAAAGAGTGGAAATGGATCAAAAGCAGTTCGTGGATGTTACATCAAAGGCCTCCACCTTCCTTCAAGAGTTCGAGCCCCCAGGGCACCAGTCAACCCAAAGAAGAGGGACTAACCGTCACTTCGTGGATTCTCGAAATCAACGAGACCGAGATAGTAGGACTAGGCCAGCTGAGCTTGCATCGAAACCGCTGAAGAAAAGCCAATCTTATACAAGGCCTCAGTTCCGGCGTAACTGTGAGGCATTCTTCCCCCGCTTCATTTTTGGATTTTTTGCCTGTATCCGAAGTGCATCGAGGGGTTTGTGCGCGCGCAATTGCGATTCCTGAGCTACGACCTCCACGATGACCTGGAAGATGCCTCGATTATGATTTTGAATGCGGTAGGCTCCTGAGGCGGTTGACTCTCTCAATCGATTCTGCAGTGGTCCTGCCGTTTCACCAATACACTCATCCCTGCAGTTACGGCAAGTGCTCTTAAAGGCACCGCTAGCAAAAAATGTAGTTTACCCTTTTTTGGCGGGAATTGATAGAACTACTCTAGAATGAAGCGATAACAGCGAAAAAACCGCAAAAAAAGACAAACAAAAAGAATTACAAAGGGTCAAAAAAAGAGCTGGAAAGGGGGTTGGACGAGTTTCACATTGAAATAACGGTGGCTAGGGGGTTCGGCCAAATTGGCAAGATGCCAGACCAGAGACGCAGTGTGTTGTCTGCAATAGCAGACAACACATTGCGTCTCTGGCAATTTGCCAAATTGCAGTTCAGGGTGGGTCCTGACGCGATTACATGACGCTGTGTCGTCTCGACACTCGTCTGACATGACATCAGTCGAGGGGCGGAGATGCGAATTACGTCAACAACGGAGCTGCCACTACGCCCTGGACGTCGAGATTGGGGGAGTGAGAGGGTCCCTTCAACAACCCATGGGGGCCGCTGAGTATTAATAAGGTAAGATCTCAATAACTTTTAGTCGTGAATGGTGCCTTTAAAGGCCACACCAGACATAGCGCAGTCCCCTGCCAACTGGACATACCACATAATTTGAGGTGGAATATAGTCGGAATATGAGTGGAATATGTCGTACTGTCGATTTCTAACCAAACTCTGCTTTAGATTGAAGGGTGGTACGTCTGTAATGGCAACTGAATTTTCCAGACCCGCCCTCTTGAGACATTTTCTGATGGCGGCGGTGAACTCATCAGAGATAAATGGCAATACGAAGGAAATCTACCCTCCCATGAAGGCACTATCATGTCTTCGAACAGCGCCACTAGAAAAACTCTGTGGTCGGAAAAATGCAGTAGCCATTCAGTTGGACAATGTCGCGTGCCAATTCCAACGACTCTTTTCGCTCATCCTCTCCACTACGGACTTTCGTGGCGGTACGGAACATGTTCTCCACAACGGTTCTTTTGTTTGGAGGGGATAAACTGAGCGACAATGGACGATAATGTTTTTATTGCTCGGCTTCCTGTACCACTTTGTAGCAACCATATCGTCTTGCAGCCTTACTTGAACGTTCAAAAAAGAGAGCCAATCTCCGGTATGTTTTTCCCGTGTTAGCTTGATGTGCTCCGACTGTGTGTTGAGTAGGTCAAAACACGTATCTATTTCTTCCTACGTCGAATAGACTATGAGTCAATCATCCATATATCTACAATAGAGTAAGGGGAGGTGTTTCAGTACGGGCGCTTCTACCTTGGTCATGAAAGCTATTACCCAAGTGAGTGCCAGCTGTTGTCCCATAGCCAAGCCTTTAGTCTGCGCAAAATACTTACTCGACCACCTGGGAATGTGACAACTGAGGCACTCTTTCACAAGTGTCATCAGTTGAGATATAGACAGCCCTTGCATACTAATATCGTTCTGGTGCTGACTAAGGAGCTTACATAGCAGACCCGTTGCTGGCATTGGTATAGAAGGTCTCTACATCGAAAGAATCTATAGCGTGCAAATCACCAGGGTGTAATGGAACATTTGGGTGTTTGTTAGATGGGATGGTATGAATTTCAGAAATTGCACCAATATAGTATAAAGTCACCACGCGATTCGGGCAGAAGGACCACCCACGCAGCTAATGATGGGACGGCTTTTACCTAGACGGGATCAACAGAAGTCGTGTAGAGCAATCCTAGTGCCTTCTGAAAGTATGGCAGTCATATGGGTTAAGGTCAGA